AAACTATAGCTCACAGAGTTATTTGCCACCACAACCTTACCCCCAATATAATGAAACCCTTACTTTTCGCTCTTCAGACATTATGAAAAAATGCTTGAGAATTTAACAAGAAGAAAAATTTGAACGAGAGATAGGAATATTTTTGAATGGATTTTTGTAAAATCCTAACGCCTTTAAATAAGGCAATGCCTAGCTCGGTGGGCTGAATTTTTTTAGGTATAACGCTCTTTTAAAGAGCGCTATACCCATTTGAATTGTTGTTATGTCAGTTAAACGCATGAGACTTATTGGTGGGCCCACAAAATAGGTATAGCGCGANATATATATATAGCGCTCTTTTAAAGAGCGCTATACTTTAACGGCCAAAACTCCGTTAAAGCATAACACTCTTTAAAAGAGCGCTATATATAAAAATATTACTCTTTTTTTTAAACACACATTTTCGTCACACTTGTCCAAAAGAACCACAAATAGGTTCTGGATTCCAATTTTGAGTACGAGGATTAACATTTAGTTTTTTCATGAATTTGGATAAAACGAATTTATTAATTTTTAAAAAAGTACAATTTATATATGTACTACTTCTCGTCCATATTATATGTCTTTTTAAGATTTGTACATACATGTAATAATCTTAATTATAGGCGTCAAAATTTTGTCTAAACTACTCTTTACTTCTCATTAAACATCTTACTTAATTAATAATTTACTCTGAAACAACAAGCATAGATTTAAAAGCACATCATAAACGACCTTTTTTTTTTAACGTCAAATAATTTGAAGAAAATTAAAAAAATTTTAAGACAATTAATATTTAAGACAGGAGATAGAGCATAATAATTAAGTACTATATATCATAACTTATATAGTAAGAAATGTTTGAAGAATTGAGTTGGAATACGTGAGACTACTTTGCTTTTTGTCTTGCTGTTTTAATTGCTTCTTTGCTCGACCAAAGGCTTTATATTTCCTTCTGCTTGCCTCGTGTTTTAGATTGTAATCAACGGTAAAAGCTGTAGTTATTGACTCTTCAAATAACATAGTGCCATTATATTTCTACACCTTTGATACAAGAAATATTTGGGTTAAAATAATATGCACTCAAAAACCTGGCCGTCGCAATTCCTCTTTTGTTAATCACCCCCTAACGAGTATGGATTTAATTTCTTAAGGCTACTTTCTTCAACAACAACAATAAAAAATTCTTTTTGCTCAGCTGGCTAAATTTTGGCTTTAAAAATAATTCGATGAATTTTTATTTTTATAGACAAGTTTAACCCATAATATATTGCAGACAGAATTTAAATAACAATCTTAAAAAAAAGGTCATTTGTGAAAATTCCCCCTTTGAGACGGAGGAAGGTGGTCCACAATGCCAAACTTTCTTAGTATCCCACTACGGAATAGAGTATAATTTTATTGATGGACGGTTTGGCAAGAGAGCGACTTCTTTTTCTAAACCCTTAGTACTCTAGTAAATGGAAATTTTTCTCCTTTTATCACTGTATATATAGAATGGTTTAGGTCAATTATTTAAACAGCTTCTCTAATTTAACAAAACTCAATAGACCTCCACTTCATATGAAATATTACATAAAACACTATACATAGTTAACAAAAAGTTTGACACCGTTAAAACGTTTAATACGTTAGTCAAACTACTCCTTTTTTTCCGAACCTATATATTTGGGAGGAGAAAGAGGTGTGTGTGGG